ATTGCGTGTGCGTGTGGAAGCGCCTGGCCTGTGCTGGCTCCACAGGCAGGCCTCCTGCTTTGCCCACCCAGTGCGGCTGAGGACACCTGCCACAGATGCCTCAGGATTCTGAAGGGATGACGTAGGGCTCCGGGGAAGGCAGGCCGTGAGGAGCCACACCCAGAGGCGGCTGGTGGAGCTGCCACATGGTCTCTGGGGCCATCAGGGCCTGCAGGAAGGCCCGGGCGTTGGTCAGAGATGCAGGGCCTTCTGGCCAGCCAGGGCACTCCTAGAGCAGCCTGCGGGTGGGGACAGTGGGCAAGATCCCCACTTGGGGAAGGGCTCTGAACACAGCCTAAAGGTCGTGCTCTCATCCCTCACTCTGCATGGTGCCACCTCACCACCTCACCGACTGCTAGCTGGGAAATGGCTGGTGTGTCCGTCCCCTCCTGGGCTGCCAGGAAATGGGGCAGGGCAGAAAGCCACAGGCGCTCAGAGGGAGGGGACCTGCTCCAGGGGAACCGGCTCCCCCCCGGCTCCCTGTAGGCTCAGCTGAGCCCAGGGAGGGAGGTCCAGGGCAGGGCAGTTCAAACCACTGTGGTTCTGAGCAGCCAAAGATCACCGGCAAGTTTCCTGCCAGGCTGGCAGGACTGAGGCACAGAACGCTTCCTGGCAGGTCAGTCTACTCCACTCAAAGTCTTCTCTGGGCGGCTGACCTGGGAAGAGAGGACCCCCCTGCTTGCCCCTTGCTTACACTACGGCAGCTCGCCAGGTGCCAGGCTGGTGTTCTCTCAGACCAGTTGCGTTGGAGCAGACTCTGGAATTTCCAGGGTGAGAAATACTGAGCTTTGGATCATGTTCACTTGGGTTCTATGAACTCCAGCCCTCAGAACCCCAGACATGAATGCAGAAGAGCAATTCTGTGCACTATCAGCCAGAAAGCGGAAGCCTGCAGGGGCAGCCCAGGCTGAACCCGGCTCTAACTCACATGCAGAACCTTCTTCCCCAAAGTATGTTAGGTTGCAGATGCTTAGCAAAAAACTACACTTTCCAGACCCCCTTGCAAATATGGGTGATCCTATGGCATAATTCTTGCTAATGACATATGAGTAGAAATGATGTGTGCAATATCTGGGCCCTGTCTTTAAAGGGAGGAAGCTTGCCCTCTACTTTATTTTCTCCTCTTGCCACCGATTGGAATGTAGTTGTGATGGCAGGAGCTGGAGCAGCCGCCTTGGACTGCATAAAAGAGGACAATAAGCTAGGAAGGGCAGGGCAACCAGGTGGAGGGAGCCTGGGTGGCTGATCCCTGACACTGTGGGGTGGCCATAGCAGTTCAACCCTGATCTGCTATGTGAAAAAGAAAAAAGCTTCTATTTCATTTAAGCCACTGTCATTTTGCTCCTTGTCACAGCAGCAGAACCTATATTCTAACTGCTACACAGGGGATTACAAGAGACAGGGAGGATCTTTGCAAATACACTGGGAATTCCTATCGGACATCTTCATTTCTTTCTGTGTTCATTTTCTTATCTGCAGGAAGCACTCCTGAGATCGCAGGTTGAAGGGAAGCCCCCTTCTGACCGGAGGGCACAGTCACAAGAGTCAGGACGGGATTCTCGGAATTGCTGTGGCTCGTGAGATTCGCGAGGCGTGAGAACAACGCGCCCCTCGTCTCACAACAGGTGAGGCGAAGGCCGCGGATCAGAGTCCCCTTCACCACCGATAAGCACAACATTTTGATTAAACCACTGACAACTCTGCTGTAGGGCAGAGAAATTTGGAAACATCAGGAAATCAAACTGTGAAGTCTTTGAAGGAACATGATTTATGTGAAAATGTGATGAAGCTAATGTGTTTGGCTGCAGTGTTGGGTGGCACGCCTGATCTGGAACCAAATCTGATGCCTTCTTGGCTCCCGGCACCTGTGCTTCCCGAGCACGGTCAGCCGGAGCCCTGCGTGTGTTGCAGCCCGACCGGCACCGAGAGCTTCTGCCGGAGCCGTGTTTCCAGGGCTGTTTCCGCAGCCCTGCCTCTGTGCTCACAGCCACGCACACGCATGCGCGCGCCGGCTAATTGTGTGCTGCTCGGCTCCCCCGGCCCCCCGAGACACCAGAGAGCCAAGTGTTATTAGATTTATGGGGAGTTTGTTGTAGTTTTACATAATTTTCTTGAAGCACTGCAGATTTTTGAACAGGCATTCGCAGTTCCCTCTAGTTACTCATCAGAGCCTGACACAGGCTGGTTTCCACCCCCTTGAGTTCAGGAGCCTAATCGCCCGCCCCAGCCTGGAGGTGGCCTTCCTGTGTGACAGACGGGCAGCTCCTGCACGGGGAGGGGGCCACGGAAAGTGGCAAAGATAGAAGCGCTGTCTGTGTGTGTGGAGAGGAATTTTGGGGCTGCCTTGAAAGCCTTCTCTTCCCTGGGGAGTCTCCCTTTGGCTACCCCCTGGCTAACACAATCTCTGTAACTTTGTCTGGCCCCCCAGGCTGTGTGCATGGGGCCTTTCACCAGCGAAGGGGTCTAATTTGCCAGTGGAATCTGACAGCACGAACTGCTTCTAGTAACCTAAGAAGAAACAGGTGACAGGCCCAGAAAGGTCAGGAAGGCTGACCCTGAAGACGTGCTTTGGACGTGGACCCCCACCCTCCAATGATGAACCCTGAGGAATCTCACGAGCTGCATGAGCATCCAGACTCTGGCTGCCCTTTCACAGCAAGCATTCCCCTTCGGGCTCTCATCTGGAAGCACCGACTAAGCCCCAGAAAGAAGGCCCCGGGCCTCCCTGATTGCACCTCCCACAGAAGGCTTCTCTAGGATGACCCCCTGACCACTTGGAGTGACTCTGTGGAAATGGGAGAGAGCAGCAGCCTTGGGCCCTTAGTCACAGCTGGGCCCTGCCCCATGGAGTGGCCAGAGGCCGTTGGTCTTGGTGCACACACTGTTGGATTCCTTCGCTCACGTACAGAGGGGAGCTGGCCACATGGAGAGGTGGCCACAGGCCACCAGGACCAGGACAAATGCCCACCTCCTGACTCTCCAGCTCTAACTCTTTCTCCTGCCCTGGCCAGGTGGCATCAGCACCCACTGCTAGCAGAGCCATCTGCCAGCCCAGCCGAGGCTCCACCAGAGAGGCAGTGTGAACAGGCACGGCGTGGGCTGGGGGCTCCCCCAATGTGCAGTGCAGACCTGCACAGTTGATGCCTTCCACGTGCTGAGCCAGAAGGCTGGGCAGGCGGATCTGACAGCAGGGCCCCTGGTGCCGTTGCCCCAGACCCCTGGCCCTCTGGCCTGGCCTGGAAAGGGGCTGCCATGAGCCTCTGTCCAGTGCTCAGGCCCGCGGGGCAAGTAGGCTAATGCTGGGCCCGTTCCTTTTCTACTCAGCCCACCGCCATGCAGAGAACGGGGGAGACTCTTGGGGAGCTGGCTTTCCTGTTTCCCACGTTGCTGGATGCTCTGCAGAATCCTGAAGAGGCTCAGCGGCCCCTTCTGGGGGGCTGAGTTCAGTCTGACGTCTCCCTGTGTGGACTTGAGGAGGCCTGGCTGCCGGGGCTGGGAAAGCCCTGCTAGCGGACGTGTAGGCTGAGAGCCAAAGGCCAAGGGGGGGATGGGCAAAGGAAGCTGGGGCAGTGGGGGGAGAGCCAGGCACAGGGTTTGAGTCCTTGCAGGGCAGAGGCTGGGGAGGGGGGCAAAGGTGATGGGCTGCGCGCCAGGCCCAGGGGCTCGTGCACTGAGTGGGGCACACAGAGGTTCGAAGCAAGGAGGATGTATAGTCAGAGCTGTAGTTAGGGAGGTTCCCCTGCACGTAGCCTTGTTCTGGGAGGCCCCTGGGCCACCTGGTTTGAGGTTCTGGCCAAGAGTGCCAAGGCCAGGGTGGCCTGAGCCTCACCACAGGGCACTTGGCTCGGGAGGATGGCACGTGAGGACACTCAGTCTTGGTCTAGCCCCTTGGCAGGCTGGGCTGTCACCTACTGGGGGCTTTCCCCTTCCACACAGACCTCTTCATCCCTCCTGACCTCCCCCAACCTTGAGGCTGGGGCAAAACCCTGAACCTCAGCACCCAGGGGACTCTGAGGATTAGCTGGTCACCGCAGGTGCCCCCGGCTTCAGCTTGCACCCTCCCAGGGACAGGACCTTCCCCCTGGCTGCCAGAAGGACGTTTTAGTTCCTTCCCTGTATGTGCTGATGAACAGCTGCTTCTCCCCTCCAGCCCAGCTCCAAGGGAAGTACAGGTTGCAGTGACCCATCATCCCGCCCTCTTTGCGGGACAGGTCTTTGCCCTGAGCCTTAGCGATCAATATTCCTGAGCCCCGCGGGCCCTGCGGCCAGCACTGGGCAGCCCCCAGGCTCTTCCCGGGTCTGGCAGCCCCGTGTTTGTTCTCCCTGAGCCCAGCTGTCCGGGGGCAGGAGAGGCCCGTGGAAACTAGGTACCGGCTGAGCCCCGGCTTCCTGGACTCGCTTGGTGTTTTGCATTCAGTGATTTGCACCTGACAGATGCTCCAGAAAGCACCACTTTGCTGACAAAATGAAATCCAGCTCAATTACCATCATCCATTTGCCACCCAGCCTGGGAGCTGAGGCAGGCCCTGCATCCAGCAGGCGGTGGCTGAGCCCAGAGCCAGCGCAGAGAGGCGGAGGCAGGCAGAGGGGCAGCTCTGGCCAGCCCCTCTTCTGCCCCCCAGCCTGCCCACTGCCTGTGTGTGGCCTGGAGACACATCCGGGGCCCACTCTTGCCTCTGCCCCTTGCTTATGCTGCTTTGTGTCTCTGAACCTCACTTTCTGCATCAGCCAAGTGGGCCTGACATTTTGTGCCCTGCTTGCTGTGTTGGGAGGTCCTGACACCCAAGCGGAGGTGGAAGGGTGCGAACATCACAAGAGTCAAGTTCACAGCGCCACCATCATCTGAGCGGGATGGGGCTCCACAGCCAGGTCCCCGAGGCCGCGGGGGACCCTCCTGGGCCCATCTGGATGGCACTAGCCTGGTCCCCAGTGTGGGCGCCGGGCCAGCTGAGGCTACTCACACATGGGCTTCAGCTGCCCGATGAGCTCTTCCTTCGACCATTTTGCCCACTCCTTCTTGTCGGTGTTGATGGAGCAGAGGATGGGGCCGCAGGGCTTGCCGCAGTCCTCGATGGCCGGCACGTTCAGGTAGTGCACCAGGACGATGTCGGGGTTCTGTGGGGAGAGCAGAGGGACTGGCAGCATGAGGGTGACACAGAGCCTGCCATGGCCAGGCCCCCCAAGGCCCCCAGCAGGTGCAGGTAGAAACCAAGTCCCCTCGGCGCAGCTGGCGTCCGGCACCAAGGATTCTCTGCCGCGGGGGCTGCACCGCAGGATGTGAGCAGCTTCCCTGGCCTCCACCCGCCGTCACAGCCATCTCCCCTCCAGCTGTGACAACTGGAAAAGTCTTCTGACACGGCCCAATGTCCCCTGGGGGGCAAATCACCTCCACTTGAGAACCACTGGCCCACAGAGCAGCTGAAATGCATGTAACTAAGGACCACAGACATGAGGTCAAACTATCTCCAGCCCCACATCCTGACCTCACACCAACAGCCACCCCCAGGGTCACTGCCCCCTGCTTCGTGCCTTACACACATTTCATCATCACAGCTTGCCGGGCATCCCCAACCCAGGCACCTCCTCTGCCCAGGGAGACACATTTCATCATCACAGCTTGCTGGGCATCCCCAACCCAGGCACCTCCTTTGCCCAGGGAGAAAAGAAGTTCCCGGGGCCGAAGGTGCCGCCCTGCTTCTAAGGGCTGGAGCCCCTCTGCCCGTAAGCCTGCGGCCTTCTCCCTAAACGAACAGCCCACCATCCAGCACTTCCCATCTAAGCGTCACCCAGGTGGCGCTCAGAATCTCTAGAACTCCTCCCAGAAGTCCCTTTGGAGCTTACGCTGGAAAGAACTCCCAGTCTGAGGACCTTGAGGGCCCAGCTTGTCTCAAAATGGTTTTATTTAAAAGCGTCAGCCTCTTGTCATCAGATTCCATTGAGAATACCCTCTGTCCCTTTTTGCCACCTGATCTCTGATAGCGACATGTCAAAGAGACTTCATGGGGCAACAGCTATGCTGCGATGGGCATGGGGTTTTCCAGAGCTTTCTTGTGGCTCGCAGAAAACAGGACTGTTTATTTGGCCACATCAGGCATGATGACTTGGTCACAAAACAATCCTGTCACTTTATAGATGCATCCGGATCAACCCAGAAGAACCTGGCTTAGCCCTTCAGAAGGTGTTTCTGGAACCATTCGCTCCTTGCAGTGTCCTGAGGAAACATGACGCCGTATTAAGAGGCTGCAGGGACCAGTGAGAAAAGGGGTGGGGGAGCCCCGTCCTGCGCTTTTCCCTGCCTGTCTCCCGGCGTGGCAGGACCCCAGGCAGGAGGAAGCCCATCCAGAGCTGTTTTTTTGGATGTGGTCAGAGCAAGAGTTGTAAACGAATACACAAATCAATCACACCATTAATAAATAAAGAGTCACGACTACACCATGCCCGGTATAAGAAAGTAGACTGGCATAATTTAAAAAGATTTTCAATAAGGGTTGAAACATGGCTTTTTTTTTCCTGCCAACGCTCAGTTAACCAGGAAATTAAATCACCACGAACAGGAGCATTCTTGTTAATGGCGGCTTTTCTGGATTGCGGTAATCACGCTCCTTAATAATAATGATAATCCCTGACATCGGCGCAGCACTTTATTCTCTTCGAAGCACTTTCCAGCCATTATCCCATTTGGTGCCTGTGCTGGCCGGGGAGGCAGGCTGGCAGCACCCGGCGCCGCGCCCTCCGCACAACGAGGCCACTGCCGCAGGGTGAGGGTGTGACTTGCCCCAAGCTATGTGCCTGGCGAGGGGCAGAGCCCGAGCACTACTGGGGCTTCCGGCTCCAGACTCAGGTCCTGCCAGGACATCTGGTGGCCTCTTTGTGCTTGGCTCAAGTTCTCTGCCACCTCCCATTTCACTTGGTCCTGGCAATGTGCCCGAGAAGTCTGTGGGTTGGGTAGCTCTGCTCTGCCCACGGCACAGATGGGGTACCAGAGGAGAGGTGGGGCGATTCGCTGGGTCCTGGCCCAGCGTCTGCCCTCGGACCAGCGCACTGGCCTCCCCATGCTGTCCAGGCAGAGGGCCCCCATCGGAGCCTGGACCCTGCCATGCCGCAGTGCAGCTGCTGAGCAAGATGATCAAAGGGCTGTGGGGCTTCCTCTGATCCCGCCCCCAGAGCAGAGCCGGGCCCTGCAGGAGGGAGCTGGGATGTCAGGCGCCTGGGGGATGAAAGGGCTGCGGCTTCCTGCCCCACAGCCATGCTGAGCGCAGCCTGGGCGCCTGGGACCCGCTGCAGGAGGCCAGGGGAGCAAAGGCTGTCGCTCACCTGAACCAAACTCCCAAACCTGGAGTTCCTGTCCTAGCGCCCTGGGAGGCTCCTAGCCCAGAAAGCCCCGCTGTCTCCTGCAGGGCCCAGCCTCCATCTGCATCACCAGCTTCCACCTAGTCTCTGAACGCAGGCACCAGGATCTCTCTTCCTCCAGGAAGCCTTCCCTGATACCTCACCCTCTCTCTCTGCCATAGCAGGAAGGCGGCCAGCTTCATGTCTTAACTGTCCATACAGCTATTTTATTTCCTCAACCCTAGGGATAGTGCCCTGGAGATGCCACAGTGCCTGGCAATAACTGGTGCTCATTTCAGGTTTGTAGAATCAGATGAGGCTGAATTATGACCTCCTGTCCCCACCCTTCTCACACTTGTGTTCTTTTGACTCAGGCGTCAGTTTTTTGGGTCTACCAAGGGCAGGGAAGCCGTTCTGAACATGGAGCCGTTGCTAGGAGGTTAAGATACAAGCTGGTTCTTAATCCTTTCTGGGTCTAAAGTCTCTGAGGCTCTGACAGAGGCTGTGGACACCCTACACCTATTGCCCTAAAATACCCCAAGTCACATCCACACCCCCCCGCAGGGGTTCCTAGGGTTGATAGGTCCCCTCCCAGGAGCCTCCGCCCTAGGCCTTGCCTTTCTTTGGTTGCTTTGGCACAATGAGCAGGAAGTCCCAGCCCCTGGAGGGAGTTGGGGGTGGGTCTGGGATTAGGAGATGCAGGAGTAGGCAGCCGCATGGCTTCCATCCCAGGGCCGGAGTTGCTGCCGCGGGAACTCTCGACTGGAGTGTTAAGTAACGACTTCCTGGCTTGGGGCTGGTGTTAAGACACAGACTGATGGAGGTATTTTTGGAAATTTGGGGCACACATCACTTCCTGGCAATGTAGCGATTTTATTAATTAGTTGTACATTTTATTGGGTGTTTTTGGCAGAAAAATATATTAGCCTTAGAGTCCTAATGCATCAGTTTCATGGAGCGCTCATAACGAGGTCAGAGTCCTTGCCGCCGCGGTGAGACGGGCTCCTGCAAGTGGGAGAAGCGTGCGTGGGGTCAGCCAGAGTCAGGGGAGGGGCAGACCCCACGGGGCTCCCGAGTCTTGACTCTGGACCACGGGGGAGCCAGGCTGCCTCGTCTTGCTGGGGCCACTCTCCTGTTTCTCTGGGTTCACGGGCCAGGTCAGCCCCGTGGGTGGGGGGAGAGGGTTTGGGAGCTTGTCTCACTTGAGGCTCCTTCCTGGGCTGCAGAATTTCCATGGAGATGCTAGAGGCCACCCCCCCCCCAACCCGAGCATGACCTTTGAAAATGAGACCCTAAGAGTCCCGGAGGCCTGGCTGGTGTCAAAAGCCATGAGAAGGGAGCCTCCTGGGGTGGTCTGTAGGCGTGCTGGTGGCGGGGGAAGCCAAGGATAAGTAAAAGTCTCAGAGAAGTTCCAGAACCTTCTGGAAAGAGCTGTAGACTAGGAGATCCACCCTCCCTCTCTGTGCCTCCAGCTGCTCACCCACAAATGCCTCTCTGGCTGGCCTCTGTCGGGGCCCGGCAGGGCCTCGGAAAGGTGCCACCTGGATGGACACAAGCCCTGCAGGTCTCACTACCGGTTGCCAGACCAAAGCCTGATGTCCCGAGAGCATGGCCAGAGTTGAGCTTCCAGCGGGCGGTCACTCGCTTAAAACTCGCATTATCCGCTGGCAGCCCCAGTTCGCCCTCTTGCTGTGCAGACGCCCTTCCTCTGGGGGCTCTTTCTCTCTCTCTCCACCCTTCCTCCCCCTCGCTCTCTTGCTCACTCCATCTCCCTCTGTCTCCTTGGGGACCTCACCTGGCAGACCCCGAGGACTCTGGATTTATCTCTCCATCTCTACCTCTCTCTCTGCTCTGGCTCACCCGCCCGACTGCTCCCCTTGGAGGCCTCAAAATACCCACAGCTTCTTGGCCGGGCACGACCTCCAACATCACGCTCCGCACACCTGGCCCATCTGGGGCTGCACACAACAGAGAAAGGCACCTGCGTCCCCCAGTGACCCAGGCAGGAACCTAGGAGTCATCTTTCTTATTCTGTCCCTGCCCTTCACCCAGCCCACCAGCACATCCTGCCAGTTCTCTCTCCCCGGGAGTCCGACTCGCCCATCGGCCCCCACACCTGCCACACCGAGTCCGAGCCTCCACCTGCTCTCCCGCCCACGTCGGATTGAAGCCCCCCTCCTGGTCTCCCCTCCTGCGCCCTCCCCTCTCCCAGTCCATTCTTCAAACATCAGTGGCTGTGATCAGGCCGTGCTGGCGAGGGCTCCTGGCACCAAGACTAAAGGCCGTGCTCCTGCCGTGGCTGCAGGGACAGCCATCTGTGTTTCTTGCCAGCCGCTCCCTGCCTGGCGCTCCCCCGCCCCCACCGCCCTATTCCCCAAATCTACTGCCTTCAGCATCAGTCCCAGGTCACTTCCTCATGGAAAACTCATTCAGAGACCCCAGTGACAACAGTGCGCACCTGCCCGGCTCCCGGCCCTGCCCCCCCCAGCGGCCTCCCTGCTCTGGCACTCCTCTCCCAGTTCTGCTCAGTTACACTCGGTTTGGCCGGCGTGGCTGGGGGAGCTGGTGCGGGGGCAGCGTTTCCTCCATGGCGACTGCCTGTCTCAGGACCAACCCTGGAGGACCGCCAGGTGTGTCTTCCAGAGGGGCTGTCTGTCAGAGGGCAGGAGTGGGCGGCTGCCCGGGCATGGGCCGGGTGGCACCTGAGGGGCACACCCTCGGCACGAGGATCAGCTCCTCCCTCAACCCAGCTGTGCCTCTGGTTTTTTTTTTTTTTTTTTTTTAAT